ACTAGTGATTTTCCCGGGCTACGCCCGGATTTTCTTATATAAATTTTAGTTTAATTTACTTTATTATATTAATTTTGAATATATATAATACTTATATATCGATTTTTAAAAATATAAATCATAAAAAGAAGTTTAAATTATTAAATTGTAAACGAACTAATATTGACAGTTGATGTTATATGTTTCTGTTTTAATTATGCTAAGAATTTAAGTAAATTTACATGATATTTGATCAAAAACAGTAATATCTAGATGGGATTATTTGGTTATTGCTTGATGAACTACTTTTTGACAAACTGATGTATTTAATAATGTCTTTGTATAGGTAATTTTTTTAATCTTCAAACTTTTGACAATGTCTATTATAATATTTTTTAATAAAATTTTGTTTTTGATGTTGAAAAGGGTAATATTTTTCTCCAATTTACTAAACAAAAAACTATAAAATATCATACCTGATAATTCAAATTTATATAACTTTATATTTATTAGTTTTGTTTAAAATTTTAAAACTTTTTGAAAAAAATAATTGTATATTTATTTTTGCCAACAATCGTATATTAAAGTATTGTATATTAAATTGTGTAATATAATCATTCATAACTACAATAATGCTACTACACTGAGTCTATAATACTTGATAGTTTTAAACAAAATTATATACTGAACTTTTTGTAAGCTTACACGCATTACAGAAGCTTGCATGACATTTTGATAGTTAAAACAATTTTGATTCTTGAATAATTATAATAAACATGTGATAACATGTGGTGGGGGTTAATGATTCCACTATTTTAATGGATTTAGAAGAAAAAAACATTTGGATTTAGAAATCTTTGATAAATATATGATTTAAAATCGAGTAAATAGATTTAAGAATCAAAGATATTGATTTCAAAATGAAAATAGCTTTTTTACGAAAATCAAGGATATCTAAATCTTAATAAATCATATGATTTTAAAATAGAGCAAATAGATTTAAGAATCAAGATGTTAATTTCAAAATGATTTTAATTGTCTTTTCTTTTTATTTTTTTACTTTCGGGTTTAGAATTGTTGTGTAATTCAGTTTTTCCTCGTTTTGGTTTGACTCTTGTTTGAGTTTTTTCTTTTCTTTTAAACTCTCATTTTACGGAAATCTTTTGAAAATCAAGGATACTGATTTCAAAATGAAAATAGATATAAGAATCAAGAATATTGATTTTAAAATCGAACAATTGTTATTCATCTTGAAGAATAGGTTAAAAGTGAGAATTTTTTTTTTTTAATTTACTAGACTAAAAATATTTATTAGAAATCATATCATTTGTGTAAATCAATAAAAATTCAAATAGAATAAAATATTTTTATAATTGAACCTAAAACACTTTCAACAAATGACAGAATGACAAGTATCATCTTTTGCCTCTATGAAGAGAAAAAACTCTACTTTATTATATAAGAAATGTATAAATATTTTTTTTTAGAAAAGCTTTAGAAATATTTTATAAATAATAAATCATATATCACCATTACAATATAAATGCATATATAATATTAATAAAAATAAACTAAATATAAGTACATTGTAAAAAAAATTCACATTTACTTATATATATCATTTGTTCATAAATAAAAATATATATATTAAAATTATTTGTAAATTTTCGTTAAAATAGAAAACTAAAAAAATAATAAAATAGAAAATTTGTTTTAGTTAATGTTTAAATTTTTATTAACATTTATTGGTTTATTAAGTAAACTAAAGTTTTTTAAATATAATAAATATAAAATATCATTAAAAGAAGGTGACACATGGCATTTTTTCCCCCAAGGAATGAAAAAACCAACTTTATTATATATGATGTGCGGGTGTTTGTTTACGATAATTACATTTTTAAAAGACAACAATTTAATGGTTTCATTTAATAGTTTTATTTTTTTGTTATTTTAGTTATTGTTCATACCATATAAAGTAGAACTTCTATAAATTAATACTCGATAAATTAATAATCTCTATAAATTAATAAATTTTGACTGTCCCAACTTGGGCTGGTTCAAAATTTGACACAAATCGATAAAAAATAAGATAATATTTTATCAAAAAATTCTATATAAATACATGGTCCCAATAAAACTATAAACTAATAAATTATATGTATACCTATTTTATATAAGTAAGAACATATATTATACTGTTTGTTTTATATTCATAATAGAATTATCTATATATTTTCTGAACACTTAATATATTTTTATGACGTTTAGTAATTTTATATCTAAAATCACAATTACATTCTTTTCAATATGTATTATATACACCAAATAATATAATAAAATTTCTATAAATGTCAGTTTTCAAAATATCATAGTTAATGTTTATACACTAAAATCAAATATTTTTCTTATCTTAGAATAAATATATCTTAAAAGAAGAAATCTAAATAAAGAAACTTTCGTAAATTAATATCTCTATAATTAAATAAAATTAAAAAGTCCCAATATTATTAATTTATAGAGGTTTTACTGTATTTGTTCTTGTGTTGTTATATATATTAAAAATTATTTTGAATGAACACAAAATATTTTATTTATGTAGGTGTATCACAGAAATTTGTAATTTTATATGTATTCATGTACAATGTCGACATATTTTAAAAAAATATAGATTGTATTAATTTTAAATCATATCTATCTTCCTATCTTCCTATGTCATATATGTGTTTATGTTTATTTTTGTCATATAAATAAAACACAAATATAAATTATAAACGAATGTTAAAACCGGTCAGTATAATCAAAACTAATATAGAGTGATAACTTGACTATATTATCTGACATTTATGTACTTTATATTGATTGGATTACGTTTAAGAAATCATTGAATTAACATCTAAACTATTAAAACAGAAGTACATTTAGTATTTAACCCTAATTTTTCCACAATAATTACCAATCCTTGTCACTAATCAAAACACAGTAGTTTCATACATTAACTTACCCAATTTTCAAAATCCCAAATATTAACAAAACCAAATTTCCAATAGCCCACATAAACTATTAAATTTAACCAGCCTAAACATTATATTCTTCAAAACCTTTACTCCTGCTAAACTATAACAAACCAAACAATTAACCAAAAGTGTAAAACAAAACATGAAACAATTTTAAATAGACAATGTTTCATGTTTTGTTTTAAACTTTTGATTAATTGTTTGGTTTGTTATAGTTTAGCAGGAGTAAAGGTTTTGATAAATATAAGGTTTAGGCTGGCTAAATTTAATAGTTTAAATGGGCTATTGGAAATTTGGTTTTGTTAATATTGGATTTGTGAAAATTGGGTAAGTTAATGTATGAAACTATTGTGTTTTGATTAGTAGTATTGATAATTATTGTGAGAAATTTAGGGTTAAGTATTAAATGTACTTATGTTTTAATAGTTTAGATGTGCTAAATTAAATAATCATTTTGTTTACTATTTTAAAAGATTTTTTATCCGATTTTTCTTTTGTTTTTGTGCATTTAGATAATTTTACATCCAGGGGCGGATCCAGCACAGTATGTAGTATGAGGCCTCTACATTAAAACATATTTTGATTAGGGGCACTTACATAAATTATAGGTAATTACTGAAGAAAATGTAAAAATCAGTGTGTGGCACTTGCCCCACCTGAGCTCTACCTAGGTCCACCCCTGCTTACGTCGTCAGTTATATTTTTCCTTCTATCTATTTGCATCTTAAATCTTATTCTCCAAAATAAAATAAAATCTGAAAAGATTAATAACAATTAGAAAACTTTAAAACATACTTAAACAAAAATTTTAATTAAAAAAAAAGATAAATTAAATGTTGAAAATTGGTTAACATATACTCAATTTATTATGCTAATAAGAGAAGCCTTCTATTCCCGTAGCTTAGGTTGGAAAACTAAACTTTTTCAAATAATATCTACAAAATGAAATGTAGAACGAAAACGACTTTGGTTACAATGCAGCATGCATTCCATGTATTAGGAACATAATAGAATGATATTGAGATAAATGCATATGCATATGCACATGATCAGTCTATAACTAAAAAGTCTCTCTCAATAAATCGTCATGCTTTGTTACTAGAACCGACCCTTGATGAAAGCTAAGGAAGCTATTGCTTCTGGCCGCCAGAATTTATCAACATTTTCGACCTTATTTAAACAGAAAATTCTTACTAGTACTAGTGGTTTAGGTGTTTTGTACAAGGGATTGCGGTAGCGGATTTGATTCTCCCTAAATAAACAGGCCATATCTTTATTATTGCTTCTAGTCACATATTTACTAGGATCGGTTCTGTTTGTTGCCGTCACTGTAAAACGTCCAGCATGATTATTTCCTTACGAAAAAAGTGTTAGCCAAGTACCAAAAGTTAAATAATCTTTACGACCGTCTTTGTTTTCAGTTTCTACGGACATGACAACTTGCATTTCCATAGGGTCATATCTGTAGTATAATCCTTATAGATTAGATTAATACAGTTTTGTAGAACGCATATGAAACTTCTGAAATATAGTTTTTAAAAAAAAAGTCAATATATAAGAAATTTATTTGGAAAATTCCTTTCTTTAGTGGGATAATACTGTAAGAGAAAAACAATTGAAGTGGAAAATCTCACGTTATCAATCACTTGCAATAGTTTTCTTTATTTATAAAAGGACTTGCAATAGTTTTGGTGTCCATTAAAAAATGAAAAATATTTTAATATTAAGTCCAACCGATTTTTTTGTAATAGACTTAATTTTAATTAATAAATAAACTAAAAGAGGCGTAAATCTGTAAACTAAAAGGAATATTAATGAATTTCAATTAATAATGAAGAATTAATAGGAGAAGTAGTTGCTAAGATTTGAGACGAAGTCCAAAGCATCTTCTGTCACAATCACAAACATTAAACTATTGACGACGTTGTTCTCAATGCCCCCACGCACTTCCACAACTATATATACAAACCTACAAAAGCAAAGAATTCATAATCACATCTCAGTTATAAAAAAACACGTACAAATGGATACCCGTGGAAGATTACAGAGGAAAGTCCCGAGTCAAAACGAGGACGTGACTGCTCCTCCTCGCAGAGGTTCGGACGCGTTTCCTCTCCCGTTACGCCTAACCAACTTTTTTTTCCTCTTCCTCTTCGCTGGCACCGCCTACTACCTTCTCATCCGGTGGGGCGATAAAAACACTACATCGACGCCTCTCCACGTGGTTAACCTATCCGAGATCCTCTCACTCATCGGAGTCATCGCATCGTGCATCTACCTCCTCGGTTTTCTCGGCGTCGACTTCGTTCAATCCGTCTTCCTCCGATCTTCCTCCTCCGACGATGTTTGGGACATCAACGAGATCGATGATCACCTAGATTCTTCCATCGATCTTACTTCCGAGGAAGATGAAGAGATCGTCAAGTCGGTGATCGACGGGTCCATCTCGTCTTACTCACTCGAGACGAGACTCGGAGACTGCAAGCGAGCCGCGGCGGTTAGACGAGAAGCGGTACAGAGGATAACCGGTAAATCCTTAACCGGACTTCCGTTGGAAGGTTTCGATTACAATTCCATCTTGGGACAGTGCTGCGAGATGCCGGTTGGGTATGTTCAAATTCCGGTTGGGATCGCCGGACCTTTGTTGCTCGACGGGAGAGAGTACTCGCTGCCAATGGCCACTACAGAAGGTTGTTTGGTTGCTAGCACCAATAGAGGCTGCAAAGCTATTCACTTATCTGGTGGCGCTTTCAGTGTTCTCATCAAGGATGCAATGACTAGAGCTCCAGTACTCAAGTTCCCTTCTGTCAGAAGAGCTTCTCTTGCCATGTTCTATCTTCAGAATCCTGCTAGTTTCAAGAGATTGTCTCTTATTTTCAACAAGTAAAGTCTTTTGAACTTATCTATCTAGGATATGGTGATCTTGTATTGACATTGTGTGTGTATGTAGGTCGAGTAGATTTGCTCGGCTTCAGAGTATCACATGCTCTATTTCTGGAAGGAATCTCTATCCCAGGTTTGCTTGTGGCACTGGTGATGCTATGGGGATGAACATGGTCTCCAAAGGTGTTCAGAATGTCTTGGAGTTCGTGAAGACTGAGTTCCCTGACATGGTTGTTATTGGCATCTCAGGTTTGTAGTCTATTCTTGGTCTCGATTTCTGAAATAGAGTCAGGTCTTTTGATTATTGGTGTTAATTGTGCTCAGGGAATTGCTGTTCGGACAAGAAAGCTTCGGCTATAAACTGGATACAAGGACGTGGGAAGCATGTTGTGTGTGAAGCCCTTATTAAAGGTGAGGTTGTCAGGAATGTGTTGAAGACTAGCGTAGAGGATCTTGTAGAGCTTCACGTGCTCAAGAACCTTACTGGTTCAGCCATGGCTGGTTCTCTTGGTGGATTCAATGCTCATGCAAGCAACATAGTCAGCGCTGTCTTCATCGCCACTGGCCAAGACCCTGCTCAAAACGTGGAGAGCTCACACTGCATCACCCAGTTTGAAGCTGAGGGAGACGACCTTCATATCTCCGTCTCTATGCCTTGCATTGAGGTAAATGCTTGTTCTATACTGAAAATAGCCATTAGTCTTTTGCATGTTGCAAAGATTTTGTGTGGACCCCCAAACTGATGAATGTTGTGTAATGATGTGGCTACTACAGGTTGGTACTGTTGGAGGTGGGACACAGCTTGCATCACAGTCAGCTTGTTTGAACCTGCTCGGTGTAAAAGGATCAAGCGACGAGGAGGAAGCTGGCTCGAACGCAAGGCAACTGGCGAGAATTGTGGCTGGTTCGGTTCTTGCGGGAGAGCTGTCACTAATGTCTGCTATTTCTTCTGGACAGCTTGTGAAGAGTCACATGAAGTACAACAGATCCAACAGAGACATTGGCCCTTCGTCTCAAGTGAAAAGATGATGTCGGAGCAGGAAACAGATAATAAAAGAAATTAGTGAAAAAAAAATTTGATGTAATAACCTTCATTTGTTTGTTCTGCATTGATTGATCCCGTTTCTAGCTATGTATGTACTCCAAACTACCTTGATTTTATTATGTAAAGACAATTCAGTACTTTCATGGTTCTTAGATCAGAAGTCTTTGATAAACTGACCGTTGGATTATCTTAAGCATGCTAAAACAACTGTTCATATCTAATCGGATTAGAGAAGATGGTTTATAGATCATTTATAATCTTTGATAACAGACCGTTGGATGATCTTCGGCACTTAACTTTTATATAGGTTTAACTAGGTGGATTGGTGCTGATATGCTCAACAAGAAAGTCAAAGGGTACTCTTTTTTTATACCCTTTGTTGTTTGGGTTTTGTAGTTGTTACAGCCACTTGATAATTGGTTTTAGTGAAAGCAGAGGCATTTTGCCTGTTTCGTTGTTTGGTTTCTGAAGGAATTGAACATTGTTTAAGTAGAAATGAGGTAGGCGATGAGCTACTTAGGATCCAAAGATAATGTTTTTTGCTTGATTTTTCTAGTTGTTACTTGCTTGTTTGAGAGAAATAAAATCATGAATATAAGGTGAAGAAATCAATTGCATTTATCTAGTTCTGGAATGATTTCTCAAGTAAATGAAGATAACTTGAGTAGCAATGACATAAACGATGATTCCCTTAGGTTCCAGTGATCATTTATGAGTGCTCATGTTGGATGCTATTAGAGTAATCAGGACAAGCCCCCCGCTGTTAGTTTCATTTGCCGGGAAATATAGCGTTGATTGTGGGTGATGATAGCTTAGCAGTAATTAACATCAAGATGTGAAATTAAGGCATAATGGTGATAGTGCTGAATTTATAATTGTGGTAAGTGTTTTGTTGTGTTGTTATGAAGTACACGATAGAGTTAGGTACTAATAAATGTAAACATGTGCTTTGTGGGTGTGAGGTGTCGCAGAGGAGATGGAGATAGGAGTGATATGGGAGTTTGACACAAGTGAAGCTCTATAAATATCCAAAACTGGTTGCAGTTGGAGAGGAACATGTTATTTATGAGTCTTTGGTGATATAATAATACAAGTGAGAATGCCAATTCTAGATGAAGTACACTTGTAACTCTCGTGTACATGCAACAACTTTACAAATTCCACTACCAAAGTACCAGTAGAATCACTCTTGTTTAAATCGCTTTTATTTTGTAGTTAGATTTATCTTTATTTATTTATTAAATCTCGAAACTTATGGCTTCTCCCATATATTTTCTTGCCCTTCCTTGACAAATAAGCCATTTCTTTGTTAGAATCTTGTTGGCCAGTGGGAACATCCTTCCCACCTGTTTCTTTAAGAGTTGTGCTGGACCCTTCACAGACACGGTTAAGCAATCACTGAACAAAAGTCGAGCCGGTCCAAGAAATTTAAAATTTATTTTTTAACGTCTGCAATGAAAGTTTAAAAACCATATGGAAGGTTCCAATACAAAGAAAAACCAAAGAAAGACAATTACATGCTCAATCTAAATAAGATCTACAAGCAAATAAAGGCTGCCTCACTCTGAATCCGCTGATGAAGCCAAGCTGCTCCGCATAATACCAGATACGATTGGAAACGGCCATTTCGAAACACACTCTTCGCAATTGTCGAGCAATTTGATTGGAGACAGTAGATTTTGTCTCGAAAGCTATAGAAAAAACAAAGAACATAAAGACTTGATTCTCTGCAACAAAATTCTGAAACATGGCCGTTTCGTGGGTTACATCACGACTTGAATGAGATCCTGAAGATCAGCCCCCAACACAACTTCTTGATACGCCAGATCCTTCATATTTGTTAGAGACCATTCCAAACACCTTAACTCAGCCGTCAACCTATTTGGAGAAAAAATCAATGCATCTCTGGCATGATGAAGGTTATTACCCATCTCGTATGATGAATGCAGCCCCACTATGTAATGTAGCATTCCTCCAATTGGCATGAATATTATATTTCACATATCCTGCTAGAGGTGGTTCCCATAATTTAATTTCTCCACACAACCCATTTCTTCCTTCCATATTCTGAACCAAATTAAGTTCATGCCACATGCGAGTTTCTTCAGTTTCCCTTTGGATCTGGATGATCAGAGATTCTTGTGTATCGGCATACAAGATAGAGTTCATGTTTTTCAAGATGGTCCAGAGTACCCACGAAATGGCTCTTCTTTTCTGCAATGGTAGCGACACATCTTCCATTTTTTAGAGAGACAAAGCTAATAGTTTCACAATACTAGTATTTGCCAACTGCAAGAAGTTTAAAAAAACCTGCAATCTCTCACGCCTCTTGAGCAATACTACACTGAAATAGCACATGTTCAATTGATTCAGTGCCATTCAAACAAAGTTTTCAGCGAGTATCCAAGTTCAATCCTCTAGTATTTAGCTTTTCAGCCACAGCTAAAGCACCAGATGTAACTCTCCATAAAAAAACTTCTAATCATTGGAAGAGTTAACTTCCAAATATCTTTCTTCAGCACAAGTAGACCTGGAGTTTTTCTACCCATCTGAAACGCCTGTGATTCTTTGGCCTGTGTAGTGTGTAGCCAACTTGTAACCACTTTTTACCGTATACGCTTCCTGTGATGAGAAGGTCCATATGTCCCTATCAGAAACGTCTCCTACAGGCAGTTGTAGAATTCTTTGCACTTCATTGGCTGGGAACGTGTTTTCCAGTTTGATCACATCCCACTTGCCTTCCTCATTCAATAATGATGAAACCTTCAAATGAACATCAAAGGCAGCTTCTTTACTAATTGGTCGACGAGGGCATCCATCCATAATCCATTTTTCTGTCCATACGTACATTGTTCTGCCATTTCCAATGATCTCATCAAACCTTTGTTCAACAATTTCCTTCCAAACAAAATGCTGCGCCAAGCATATGTTGGTCTGTAACTTTTACCACATTCCAGAAACTCTTATTTGCATAGTACCTTCCCTTATAAAGTTTAGCAATCAAACTAGATGGTTCATTGAGTAACCGCCATGCTTGTTTGGCTAAAAGGGCTTAGTTAAAATCTTCTCTTTAGAAACACACAACTTGTCCCAGAAAATCCAATAAATCTTTTTTTTCTCATCATGAAATTTAAAAGTTAGAAACAAAAAAAATTGGCCACTTTTTTAGAAGAAAAGTAAGCCAAAATAAATAAAAACATTAAAATGGCAACTAAGAAACTTGAATCCAGGTTGTTTAACATAGCATGGATTATTGATTACCACTAGACTAATACAACTTTATGAAATTTTGTGGTCGAAAATAGTTTATAAAACAAAATGTGCTTCGTTTGCTTCATACAAGGGACCCGAACAAAAGTAAGGATGTTGTGGTCTTCTTTTGAAGGCCTCCATTGACTCACAAAGTCACACTTGTTCCATTTTCTCTCTAAGGTCTCTTGCCAAAACTAAAATAATCTCATAACTGTATCAGAAAAAAAAAGTGAAAAGAACTGAAAACTCGTTATTCGATCAAACATGGCGTAAGAGAAAGAGCATGATGAGACACTTTCTCACTTTTGATTTACACAATGAGACACTTATTACATGACACACACTTTCTGTGCGTGCTTTGTCTTTTATACCCCCAACTATACATTCTTCCTTTTCTCTAACTAGGCGCTATATTTTCCCAATTTTCTAAATCCTAATTACAGTGATCTGTCATCCTCTTTTGCCGTTCAAAACCATGATGAAATTTGAGGTGAAGGACATGAAGAAATCAAACTCTAGCCCAAGTCTCCCCCGTGATTCAAGCTCTGATCCACTTCTGCAATTTCGCTGTCGTAGCTTCCAATCCGGTCACGACCTCATTCCCTGAAATCTCCATAGCCGTGAGTCATTAAGCCGTGCTCAACTCTTCCTCTGTATCCTGCTCTCAGTTCGTGGTCGCCGCCTCCGTTGAACTGTAACAGACTCGTCCTCGTTTATCTTTGGTAGACGATTGAAAGGTCGAGATTTAAGTCGCGTCCGCCTTCCTTCTTGTCTTTTAATTCCCTGCCGCCGTTAATTCCCCCTCCGGTGGCAGTGGATGAGATCAACAGCGCAGGGTTCAGCTCTTCGCAGCGGCAATGGAGATGTTACATTTGGGTTTAGTTTGATGATGGTTCAGAGTATGAAGTTATCGGGAAAAAAAAAGAGTCTGAAGTTATCTCTTTTGATCCCATTAAGGTCATTGAGATTTAATGATTCTTTTGGATAAAGTTTGATCCTTTTTGTAATTTAAGTTCGTTTGGTGAAGGCTTGCTGACTAAGTTGGGATTGGGAGAGCACTTTCAGGAATATTATATGTGCATTTTCCATGAGTGAAGATGTTCATAGAGTCTCCTTTGACCAAACTCACCGCTATTACGTTCTTCTTAAGGCCAGATCTTGCAAGGTAATTTATGTTTATAGTTGTATCAGTTGCAAAATCTTTAGCTTGTTTCGTTTCCTTTTTTGATAAATTGTTTTGTTTCTAAATTCAGATTCTCTAGATTGAAAAGGTAGTGCCTTTATAACTGTGTGAAACCAATAGTTTTGTTTAGATGTGGAATTTGAGAAAGTTGTGAATGTTTTTTCAGTGTGATTGTGGAAGTCTTGAAGATTGATAGTTTACAGAGGCTTTGTTTTTCTTTGAAACTTGTTCTTCGTGCAATGGTAAACATAAGGGTTTTGTTCTCATGTCTTTTGATTCTTTGTGGTGTCTACTTAACATCTTAAGCCATTGTCAAACAGATTATGCACTTTAACTCATGTTAGTGCAGATGAACAAATATATAGACCAAACTCTTAAACACATCCTAAAATCTGGACGAAATCTCTATGTTATCCACATTTAACTCATCCACATTTTTCAAATCCGAAAATCTCTATCCATAATTTCGATGTCCACACAATTTTTTATAAATGTTAAAATAGAATATATTTATATTAAAAGTGGATGGCAAAACATATAAAATACAAATTATGATTTTATAGTAAAATTTATTTGTTTTAAAATCTAAAAATATATAGACAAATTACAGATAAAAAAATATTAAACAACAATGATTCCACTATCCACAATTCTCTTGTCCACATTTACATTACTCATGTTTCTTAAATCAACATTGAAAACTTTAAGTTATTGTTTTATTTTTAGGTTTTACGCAGTTTTATGTTCTACACAATTTACA